TAATTTAAATTTTTGAAATAATTTTTTGTACCTGATTTGATATTTGATTGATAGGTCTATGGTCGTGCTATGTTGCCAGAATACTAAATTACATTATATACATATTCTATATTTAACTGATTGGGAAAAGAATTTAATATCAGGTATTATTATAATAAATTTATTAAAAATTATATATATTGCTATTAATTTATTTATAATCTAAAGTTGACAAAATTTTATAAATAAATAATAGCTACAAATAAATGGATGCATAATTCTGAAATCGATAATATTTTGAAAAAAACATTGATGGAAAATAAACATCAGTTATCATGGATTTCTTATGATGAACTTGACATTGAAGAGATAGGTAAATGTGTATTTTCAACTGTATATTATGTAGTTGGATTAATAAAAGTATATGTATGCATCCTGATTTAGTAAGAAATCTGGTAGTTTTTTTGTAGTTTTAACCAGACCCGCAAAATTCTCAAAAATCTTTTTCAACGTTATCCGGGCAGATTTGCTACCATTAATATTGAAACCGGCTGAGACTTATGAAATTTGGAAGAAGAGAGAAGTAAAATTGAAAGGAAAAACAAAGATCAGTCTAGGTGAAAAAAGACACGTTTAAATAGACCTGTGGCGCTTAAACTGCTTCATGAATCAAATGATTATCGTAAAGAATTTATAAGTGAGGTGATCTTTATTAATTATTTATATTATTTACACTATTCATAATTTATCATTAAAATTAACAATTCAAATATATATTCCCTTTAATAATAAGTTAAAAGCATATTGTGATATCGGTCTTAAAGATCCAACTTTTTTAAAATGTTTCGGTGTATCAAAAGATAAAGTTTCTAAAGATTATATACTTGTTATGGAATATGCTTCAAAAGGTAGTTTGCACAAAAACTATATGCTATAGCACAAATGGATTGGAATGACAAATTAAATTTGCTACAATGTATTGCATCATACCTTTTGCAAATTCATTCTTATGATCTTATTTATCAAATTTACATAGTGGAAATATATACAAAACAACTTGAAGAGTGCATATATCAATATTCTTATTATTACATGTATTACTATTAATCTAATGTTGACAAATAATTTTAAAACCGATTACATACGATATAATCTTGGTGGCTATTGGGTGGGTCCATAATCCCGAAAAATCATAATCTCTTTCAAAAAATGGTTATCAGAAAAGGTAATACCACCACTAATGGAGATATGAAGTTTATTTAAATTTTAGTAAAATAATATGTACAAATTAAATAATACCAATAAAAAATTAAACAAATTATTAACTTAGGTCAATAAATTATGCTCATATAGTACTTAAGTCAGAATAAATAAAAATGAGTTTAATTGCTTATCTTAAATACTTCGATTAATAAATGTTGCTATAATCAATTTTCAATTTGTGTTGCTTTATTGAAAGTTTATTTACCCAACATAATATAGATTAGAGTTGTATTTGATTAGTTATTGTAAAACATATCATGCGCATTTTATCTTATCTAAATTATATATAAAATATATATATATATTCAAAAAAGTGGGTTAAAAAAATAAAAAAAAAAAAAGAAAAAAAAAAAAAAAAAAACAGAGTTCAAAATCTTTTAAGCCCATTTAATCCGTGAGCAACCATGGATCATAAAAATATATTCAACAAAATGTGTGAAAAAACTTAAAAAAAAGGCCTCTTTCCTATTTTTCTTCTGCATCAATTTTCCTTCATGTCGATTTTTCTTTGCTTCTATTTTTCTTTGCTTCTATTTTTCTTTGCTTCTATTTTTCTTTGCTTCTATTTTTCTTCGTATCTATTTTTATTCATCACCGATTTTTTTTCAGCATTAATTTTTATTTGGCATTAATTTTCAATTTGCCATTCTTACTATTTATATTGTTTACATAAGTTAATTTGTATTTAATTTCTAATAGCTGTATATATTAGAATTATTGTAATTCTACCATAGGCTACTGGAAAAATTCTTATAAAATTACTCACTATTTAAAGATTATGATCATAAAAATTTTGCAACAAAATCTACTTGCTATGTTAAGGACAAATTAATTTGCATTTGAATTTCTCCGATTATTAACTAATATCACACTTTATAATAATAAAATATGTAAAAATATACAACATATTTCTACATATTTTATTGTTCAAAAGTGTGATATTAGCTGACAACTATGCTGGTTAACACTATATACTAAATACAGTTTACTAACATATATTATTAATTAATATTATTCTGTCCTACGTAGCTATTCTAATATTAAAATATTTAAAATATACAATACGTACATAAAAGCTTATTTTTAAAATAATTACGTAGTAGGTAATAACCAAGTTATAAAAGAAAGGAAAAGTAGCAGTGCAAATTTACATAGAGTTATTATATTATACAATTTGAATGTTTAAGCAAAATTACAATATTATACGATTTGAATGTTTAAGCAAAATTACAAAATTATGCAATCAATATTCTATATTTAACTTTAAATAGAAAGATTAGTTGCAATTCCTTTAAGGAAATCCATTGTTGTATGATAAGGTCGATCATTTAAAACACTTATAATTCGTTTCTCACGGTCAATTGCTTTTTTTTAGGTGTAGGTCTTTGTTCTCCATTAAGAATTCTTTCAACTTGACAATCAACTCTTTGTTGTTCTTTTTGCATCTCTTCAATAATTGAATAAACACCTAAATGATTACCACTAACTAGTTTATTCCAACGGTTATGCCATCCCTCTACTTTATTTTGAGTACGCGGAAATCCAGATTCAACAGAGCTATAAATTGACCACAATTCTGGTAGATAAAGAGGTTGATTACTAGAGATATCACCATTGCTTAACTCTTTTCAACTTTTCCAAAAGCATAAGTGTTTTCAAACCATTCTACAACTTTATGAGCAATTGGTGGTATTTTTTTTTTAAAATATTGAATGCAGCAAGAATTTCTTCAGGTGGAAGAAAAGCCAAGACAAGTAAATATCGTAATTTTTCACTTAAATCTAGATCAGTTCCATATTCAGTTACTAATTTTGCTTCTTGTATTTTTTTCTATAAATTTTTTCCAAGATGGAAAAAACATCCTTTATTTATAACGCCTAAATAATAAAAACAGATTTAGTTATTATTTCTTTTATAGAGCTGTAAATTATAAATATTATTTCAAAATTTAATTTTAATTCAAGTCGAAAATTTATACTTGCTATTTAAAAATTTATAGTATTTGCAAATTATTATATGAAGACTAAACTAATATTTAAAAAATTTAGAATATTTAACCTGGAAATGCATTAGATGATGCACGAATTGCTGCTTGCTCAAAATCCATAATGATAGTTTGTGATTCAAGTTGAAAATCGTTATCTTCTGCAAAATCAATCAAAGTTTGAAATAGATAAGTATAAAGTTCTTCTAATTTTCCACTCATCAAATCATATACTAGTAGAAAAACTTGAGAATTATCATTTGTGCCAACAGGTGCATGAATGGTATAAATTTGTTTAAAAATAGTAGGAACCATTTTAAAGGTACCATCCATGATCCAGTAAGGTGCCCAGGATAAGCGTTGTAGATTGGTTTTTGTTGCAAATATAATAATTTTATTTTGTCCAATATTTAAATCTTTTATTAAGAACAGATCTC